TTTTTTTTCGTAATATTCAGTGTTGTTAATTAAAATTCTTAAACAGATCAAAAATTAATTTAATAGAACTAGTAACAGAAAAACAACAGTTTCAATGACCAATAGATTGTCAGAAAACTAACCTCTGTTGCCCATAATGTTACAGCAACCTCGATTCCTGACTGATCAACCAAGAATATATCTCGTTTCCTCAGTTCCTTGTTTGTGGATTTAGATACGAGTGTTTGAAGATCTGATGAACTTTTACATACACCTATAACATCTATTATAAAAGACATTTAATATTTATGCACATGAACAATTAAGATTCATCTTATAGTTTTAAACAGTTTTGTAAAATAAAAGATTAAAAAATCTAATAATTTAAATGAATTTTTATAAAACATTGAGAAATTCAAAGTTTAGAAATTAGGTTTAGAGACTAAAAGGAAAAAATAAAAGTTACTTCTGGACATACACTTGAAATGAAAAAGTCATATCTGTATAAAATGCTACATCAAATGGTTAAAAAAGAAATTGACTTGTTAAATCCTTTTCAATCTTACCTAAAATTAATTCCTCGGACAGTTAAAATTCCTTTTTAATTTTTCTTGGCATATTTTCAAAAGGATTTTACTTCTAAACCAATCAACTTTAAAATTACTCCACTATGATTCCGAATTCTCACCTACAAGAGAATCCTTTGCAACCTGTTCTAGATTATTAATTGGTACAAAGTTGAACTGCAACATAGGAATGACATTAACATTTTCATGGCATGGGATTACAGTGGTTTCATTGTTAAAAGTCATTTCATAGTCATTCTTGATGGAAGTGTACTGTTTATTTGCTGTCTTCAATGAACCTTTTGAGATATAGTACACCTACAAAAAAAACACCAATTGTTTAAAGTGATTCCAAAATATTATAGCAAAGACATGATTAAAAAGCAAAAGCTGAGTTTGCTTCAGCTCAAATAATAAAGATCTGTGCCTGCAATTTTATAAAACTACCATCTCCTTTTGATCAAATACACAAGCTTCAGATATCACTACATTAAAAAAAAATTTTTTTGTTATATTACAACACATCATTTCAATATTGACCAACAGTAAAATTTGTGAATATCACAAACCTTTCTATTCTGCTAATGCTACATTGTGCAAACATTGAAAAGCTATACTTTTTAAGTTTATCAATAATATATTACATTATACTAGCTACATGTTAACTTGTCATAAATAAAACAGTTTCAAACTGTTTGTTATTAAGGGTATTTTTGTGCCTTCCACAAGTAAATTCGTAGTACCATAAACCTTCAGACTTACAAGGGGGCATTTTCAAAATTATTTGATGTTAATATAGAAAATAACTTACTTTGTTTATCTCAATCATGTCATAAAACTTATCACAAGCTTCTTTAAAAGCTGTTGCTCTTATCTCTCCACTTTCATCAAGCAAGTCCATGGAG